GGCACATCCCAGCGGGCGTTTCAGTGCGAGTCGGCGACTTGGGCGGGCGCGGTTTCATGGTAAAATCGACATCGTAGACGCGATGATGATGGTAGCGATGCGGGTGACGATGATGACAACGATGACGGCAAGGCCAGCGACGGCGTTGATACTGATCATGCCGGCGACGATGACGGCGCCCTCGTTTTGGTGAGGAAGGTTTTGGAGGGAGTTCGACATGCGCGCGCGGCCGACGCGCGAGAGTGACCCTCATGTGTGATTTGATTCGGACCGTGCCCCACCCCAGCACGCGCGCAAGGGCTTTCGAAAGACTTCGACGTGCGGTGCGAGGGGCCCGTCTGGCAGAATTTAGCGATATGGTTTGGTATTTTTCCCGTCGCATGAACGCGATCGCAGACATTTTTTAACGCTGGTGCTGCAGAGTCGTGTGATTTTGTATGTTTTCGGGGCACTCGGTTTTGGACTTCCTACGTCACCTGAGGTTTTTGAAGAATTTCGGCATGTGCGCGCGACGACGCGCGCACTGGCATTTCGTCCCATGTTTTTTGCAAGGAGTTCTTGCGGCAGCACTCTCGCAAGCGCGTTCGGGCGATTCCGACATGCGCGCGCGAGGGGCAATTGTGGGACAGCCGATGTTTCTTTGTAATTATTATTGCGATCTGTTTTCGGGGCGCTCGATCTCGAAATCCTTACGACACCTCAGGTTTTTGAAGGATGTCGGCATGCGCGCGCGACGACGCGCGCGTGTGCACATCGTTCCAAATTTTTAACAAAAGGATTCTTCAACACTGATATTTTTGTTGGGGAACGGCTGCGCACGCATAGTTCTCTTTGCGGAGGATGAAGGAAGGATGCCGGCTTAGCTGCGATGATACAGATTCGTATTTCGAATGGACGATGGGGCAGATTCATATGTAAACTGCAAACCGACAAACGGGGCCCATTAAGTCCGGGGGGGGCGATCCTAACAGCAATTTGGAACAGGAGGATATTTATACTTTGTTATTTGTGGTCCGACCAATGTAGCGCAACCTGTGCGGTACAACCCATGTGGTTCAATATATGTTGTGCAATCGATGTTGTGAGTTCTATGCCGTGCAACCTGTGATAAGCAATGCCTATTGTGCAGTCTATGTGGTGCCTTCGATGTTGTGCAGTTTATGTGGTGCCACACATATATTTACACACGTATATATACCGATTCATATATACAATATATGGTGCAAAATATGCTGTTCAGTTTATGTGGTGCAACCCGCGTGGTGCAATGCATGTTGTGTTGTTTATGTGGAGCCTGCTGTGCGGTGAATTTTACGTTGTTCAACCTATGATGTGAAATTTGGGTTATGCAACATATGTTCTATGCTGTTCCACTTACGTGGGGCAAAACATATGCGCAACCCAGGTTGTGCAATCACTGTTACGCAGTACATGTTGTGTAATCTATGTGGTGCAATACACACGTGATGCAATCTATGCGGGGCAACCCATGAGGTGCAACCGATGTGGCACAAACCATGTGGTGAAATCTATTTGGTGCACTATATGTGGCGCAGCCCATATTACACAGTCGATGTGGTGGAATCTAGGAGGTGCAAACTTCGATGTACAATTTATGTTGGCCAGCCCCCATGCTGTGCATTCAATTTGGTGCAGCAATCTACGCGGTGCCCACGTGGCGCAATCTATGTGGTGCAGCTTATGTTGTGCAGTATATGTGGTGCAGTACAGGTGTTGAATTCTATGTAGTACAACCCCAGTTGGGATGATTATGTGGAGCAAACGGTTTGTTTGTGCTGTCTATGTTGTGCATACATGTTTTGCGTAATTCATGTTGTGCCGTGCGTGTGGTGTAAGCTATGTGGTGCACTTCGTTTGCCGAAGTTGAAGTCGCCAACTCCACTGCTCGCGCAATCATCCCACCCACCCGCCCGCAACTTGGTTTACAAAACCCATGCGGGAGCGATTGCGATGAGTGCTGGGTGTTGGCTGGTGCATCCCTGCGGCCGCGCTAGCCCGCGCATGCTCGCGCGCGCAGCGGCCAGCTAGTTTGGCGCGTCCGACGCGTACGCGGTGGCGCTGACCGTTCGGCACATCCCAGCGGGCACTTGAGTGCGAGTCGGCGGCTTGGGCGGGTGTGGTATCATGGCAACGTCGACGTTTGTAGATACGATGACGATAGTAGCGATGCTTGTGACGATGCTGGCGGTAACGACGGGGCAGCCAGTGAATGCGCCGATGATGATCACGCCGACGACGATAACGGCGTCTTCGCGTCGGTGCTGAAGGTTTCTGAAGGAAGATTATTTGAGACGGATCGTGCCACACCAGCACGCGCGCAAGGGCGGTCGAAAGGTGTCGGCATGCGTGCGCGCGAAGCCCACTTGGTAGCATCTTAGGGGAATGTTGAATCAATTCGCATTTTTTGGTTATAAAAGATGAAATAATTTTCTAAACAAAAATTCGCAAGAGCCCGCGCATTCTTTTGTTGAAAATTCGT